TAAAAAATTGTTGGTAGGGCTTTGTTAGGGGGAGGAAAAGGCAGCACCTATTAGCTCATCTAATATTATAATGATGGGTATTCTGCCCTGTGGCATCATATCCCATCTTGCTGACCTGGCTCTTTTGGATTGGACAGGCAGTAGGATTTGGATGAAAACATTCAAAATGAAAGGGGTAGTCAGTATACTGGAGATGTTAAAAGGGTGTGTGTGTGTGTGTGTGTGTGTGTGTGTGTGTGTCTGTCTGTCTGTCTGTGTATAGGTGTGTACAAAAGAAAAAGCCCAGGTTTATCCAACCATGTAGACTAAAAATAAATGTGACTGTTCTTTGTGCTGACATAACACAGGATGGTATGTCAAATTGAAAAAGTCATTCATATGCAGAACTAGTCAGTCTCTCCCCATCCACCCCTCCTCCTATAAAAGCTCAGAAAAGCAAAGGTCCTTCAATTTGCATAACAGGCAATCAATTTCCTGGCTTAGGCCCCATTTTCCTATTCTGGAAAGTCAGTCCACAAGCTACCTCTCTTGTACTTGAGGTAATCAGTCATTGTTAATCCTTGGAATGGGGAAAATTTTGGAGCTCTTTGAAGAGATTAGCCTGGTAAGGGCTTCAGAACAATGGACCCACTACTTTTATTTCTTTTAATGTAGCCCAGTCTTGCCTTAGTATTTCAGATCATCCTCATCTGTTTGCCTCACAATGAGCTCACATACAGTCCATTAAAATTCCCCATTTTTCATCAAAAATATTATAGTCCAGTTTCCCTGCATTTGTGCTTGGACATTTGATTTTTTGAAGGGAAGAAACATAATATGCCTTTTTACACTGAAGCCTCTTGGATATGAACACCTTTCCCAGCCTGTTACTTATTAAAAGTCTGTATTTGTCATTAGCTGACTCTTATAGCTCTGTGATAGGTTTTGTAAGCAATCTTTTTTTCACTTCACAAATTAGTGATAAAAGGTGGCAGAATGCCCATACAGAACTTTGGAACTGGGTGCCTCACTGTGTGAGAAATGGCTCACCTGTCCAAATTTCAAATGATGGACTAGGAAACAGAAGCATGGCAAAAATGAGACTTTTAATAATACTCTTGAGTGTGCACCCATTTTACAGGATCACAAGTGGGGCAAGGAACATAGCCTATTATTTAGACCCCCCTCCAGTTCCTCATTGGCTGAGGACTATTTGGTCACCTGTTTCCTAATAGGTCGCCTAGGTCTTGCTGTCTCCCATTGGGTTATTTAAAAAAATGCGCTGGGGCCTTCTCTAGTTGCCTCTGCCTCCCTTTGTCTCTAGGCCCTAGGAATCTTCCTAGGACTATCAGCCACATTAATAACTCTCATCCTCTCTCCCCACCCCCACATTCTGTTTGCTCTGGGGAAATTCTGCAGCAGCCTGGCCACATGCTGTTTCTTTTCCATGAAGGTAAATCAGAGGCATGTTTCTTACAACTGTGAGTTGTATGGTCATAGTTTGTGCAGTATAATTGGTTTCCTGGGACTTAATTCACACTTGCCTAGAGCTTTATAGTATTTTAAGGCAACCAGGTCTCTTACCGGTTTGAACCTTGTTTTCTCCTACAATAGTGGTTCTCAAAAGGTAGTTCCTGGACCAGCCAAAGCAACATCAGCGCCAGTTGGGAATTTGTTAGAATAGCATAACTGGGGTTGAGGCCTAGGGGACTGTTTGACAAAGCTCTCCAGGTGATTTTTACTCTTGCTCAAGTTTGAGAATCACTACTACTGTCTACAATCTACTGAGATTATTCTTGTTAGAAGGACAAGTGTATAGCTCTGCTAAGTCATTCACTCATTTGCTGCTTCCTCACTCAGCAAATACTTAAGGTCTAAGGGTAAGGCAGCATTTCTTCCCCACATTCACCTAGCAGCATCTAGTTCTTCCTTATTTCCCCCTTGATCCAGATATATTTTCAAAACCACTCGTCCCTCCCTCCTTCCCTCTCCCCTTCCCTCCCTCCCTCCCTCCCTCCCTCCCTCCCTCCCTCCCTCCCTCTCTCCCTCTCCCTTTCCCTCCCTCCCTCTCCTCTCTCTCTTTTCTTTCTTTTCCCTGATGCATAAAACAGCACCAGAGGCATGGATGAATAGAATGGACACATAGATCTCCAAGGGGAGGAAGGTGGAGGGGACGGGAAGAAATTAACCAGAGAACATGTATGCATAGCCATGGACATAGATAATATTGTTGTGAACGCGCCTGGTGGGGGGCGGACTGTGGAGGTTGAGTGGAGGGGGCAAAGGGGAGGGAAAATGGGCGACATCTGTAATAGTGTCAACAATAAAAAGATAGAAAATTGAGATTCAAAAAACCAACAAAAAACAACAAAACACCACACACACACACACACACACACACACACACACACACACAAAACACATCACTTCTTTTTACTCCTCCTTCACCACCACTGTCACACTGGTTTCTGTTTTGCTTTTAGGCATATTGCAAATTCCAGCTTTGCTCTTCTTATGCTGGTATTTATTGCAGGTATTTATTGCAAGCTTGCTTGCTGGCTCCACTGATTCATATTCATTGCCCTCCCCTATCACTTTTTTTTGCCCTATAAGTGCAAAGTTTCTTCTTTGCTCATACTACTAACTGGTACAACCATGTATACTTGTCCATCTATCTCCTCTCATTGGAATTTAGATTTTGTTTGGGATGCCTGTATCCCTGGCATATATGGGGGGTGTTAAGAAAATGAATGGATGAATATATATTCCCTCCTTTCTTTCCTGCTTTCTTCTTCTTTATGTACTATTGAAAAAATTGGAACTCAACCAAGAGTACACATATTTAGATGCATATCTGCTTTTTTTCTTATTAATTTTACATATGGTGAATTTTTACTATGAATTTTCCATACTTTTCAAGTGTGGCAATTCATTCATCTTGTCTTTTTTTTTTTTTTTTTTTACATATGCGACATATTATGTCCCTGGCCAGTTTCCTAAGTCAGTTATCTGTATCTTCCTACTGTTTGGGTGGGCTGTTTGGGTGGGCTGGCATCCCTCCTACCCACAATGTGATGTTACTAAAGTGCTTTAATTTAGTGTTGATATATAAAGGCGTAATGTCAACCCACATATGTAGTTTTAGTTTTCTAGAGCTACATTAAAATTTTTTTAAAAAGCAGGTAAGATTAATTTTAGTATATTTGACGTAATATATGCAAAATATGTCAAGAATTAATATGACATTATTAATCAAATGCTAGTTACACTGTTTTAAATTAATAATGAAAATGTATTTCCTCATCCATGCTAGCCATGTTTCATATGTTCAGTAGTGGCCATTGTAATGGCCACTACTCTAATCTTTGAAACACCAGCCACAGTTCTACCCTTAGATTCATAGATTTATATACAGTTATGTCCCTTTTTTGCCTCAGTGCAAACTCCCCACATTTCTCTTTCTTTGGGAAGTTGTATACATTTTCATTTCCATATTGTATTCATGACTCCCAAAGCCACATGTCTCAGTAACAGCCACAGGATTGTATTTACTGCACTGAATTAGATTTCCAACCTCATGTTATTACAGATAACTCTGAAATGATGTAAAAGTAGATAACTGAAGAAATGCATGCATAAACAGGTCAAGCCCCAGGGCTTTGTTGCAGTGTACAATGTTCTTTCAGAAAATTTTAACCAATATATAGGATACTGTAATCTACATAGTGCAGTGATGGCGAACCTATGACACGTGTGTCAGAGGTGACATGCGAACTCATTTTTTTGGTTGATTTTTCTTTGTTAAATGGCATTTAAATATATAAAATAAATATCAAAAATATAAATCTTTGTTTTACTATGGTTGCAAATATCAAAAAATTTCTATATGTGACACGGCACCAGAGTTAAGTTAGGGTTTTTCAAAATGCTGACACGCTGAGCTCAAAAGGTTCGACATCACTGACATAGTGTTTAGTGCAAATAACAGAAACCACTCTTTCAACCAAAAAGGGATCTAATACAGTGAATTAAGTGCATACCAAATTGGTGGAACATTTAGAAGAACCAAAATCAAGGGGTCACCCAGCACATTTGGCTTCGTTTAAAAGACAAGTACCATGACTATTTTACAGATACTGTGCTAGCATTCCTGCTGATGTCCCTGAGGCTGGTGACTAGACTGTGAAATTGGGGGTCAGTCGCTGTGGACATTTTTGTTGGTACTAGCTTCCCCATGGGTAGAATAAGTTGTATCAAGAACCTTAGATGCAAGGACATCTGAATGCTAGAATACCCATCAGGCTTTTATTCAACTGTCACTCATTAATGTGGCCTTACTGCTTGCTAAATACTTCCATATTACCTGGCATAACCCTTCCCTAGGAACTTTCTCCAGTATAGTTACACATGTTGGGCCTCCATGACTCCCTCTTCTACATGGTGCTATAAATGTAGTCATAGATAGTCCTGATCCTTTAAGACAGTCGAAGGCAAATACCGTGACTGTCTAATATAATGGATTGCTATGAAGAGGAAGTTGGGTAGTAGGATTTCTAGTTAATAACTAAGATATGGCTAAAAAGTAATGACATTTTTTCTTATATGGCAGGTACTAGTCCCTGAAGGGAAATCCAAAAAGGACTTCAGTATTTCTAGAGTAAATATTTAGCCCTTGAAGATTAACTAGTTTGAATTGGTAATACTTCAGATGCCTTTCTTCTCTTCCACCCCCAGCCCAAAAAATATTTATGTACTTAAAAAAGAACCCTTCAGTATATTATTATAATTAAAATTTTCTGCTTGAATTTTTTTACTATTACAATTGTTTATTTGTTAGGCATTCACTCCTGTAAAAGGTTCAAAGTAGATGAGGTATGATTTTTTTTCTCCCCATTCAAAAGAGATATGTGCCTTTAAGTTCTTTTCTATCCATCACAAGTCATTGTGTAGGGTTAACTGTGGTAAAGTGCTGCTTCCTGATGTCATGTGTTTAAGTGTTTGTCCCCTTTTCTCACCTGTAGGGCTCCTTGGTAATGGCCAGTCTAAGGGATTAGGACCAGCATCAGAACAGTCAGAGAATGAGAAGGATGATGCATCCCAAGTGTCCTCTACTAGCAACGATGTTAGTTCTTCAGATTTTGAAGAAGGGCCGTCGAGGAAAAGGTTAGTACCCAAGGCTGAAAGTATTGGTGCCTTAAATCAGGGACTGCAAACTAGGTGCCAGTTTTTGCCACATGGAAACAAACTTGGGCCCATTCATGCAATCTCCTGATTTTTCATAGAGGAGTCAGAGTTCTGAATTTTTATATTAAATGTCCTGGTTTCAAAAGATAGTCCACTAATTATATCTAAAAATAAATACACAAAAAAATGGTATGGGCCAAATAAAACATGTTATTGTCATAAAAATTGGCCAGAGTCACCAATGTGTAATTCTTGTATTCATTTAAAAAAATATATTTATTTTTATTGATTTTAGAGAGGAAGGGAGAGAGAGAGAGGGATAGAAACATCAATGATGAGAGAGAATCACTGATTAGCTGCCTTCTGCACACCCCCTACTGGGGATCAAGCCCACAACCCACGCATGACCCCTGATGGGGAATCAAACCGTGACCTCCTGGTTCATAGGTTGATGCTCAACCACTGAGCCATGCCAGCCGGACCTGTCTTGTGTTCATTTTAATAGATTTTTATCAGTAGTATTTCTTGAGTATATTAGATGGTATTTTGCCATTCCTGTACAGAAATGTTTCTAAGAATTTGAAGAATTAAATGTGTGTCTGAAAATTTCCCCCCCTCATCTGGAAAGCAAAATCCATATGATGTTTAATCAGGTTAGTAGTTGTGGAATAGGTTCTTAAAACTTTGAGTTTACCAGCAGTTTTCTTTTTTTTTTTTTTTAATTACTTTTAAAAATAAACTTAAGATGGTTGGATAAGGAAGTTAGCTGTGTAGCTAAGAGTTTGTGGTTTCATGGTCAAACAATGGCAGTTACATTATATAATGACTAGAGGCCCGATGCATGAAGATTCGTGCAAGAATGGGCCTCCTTCCCCCTGGCTGCCGGCACTGCCTTCGCTCTGGCCAGAGCCGCCTTTCCAGCTTCATTCAGGCCCAGAGCCACCTTTCCACCTTCCCATGCTGCCCAGAGGCCCGGAGTGGCTGGGGCAGTGCGGAACGCCTGCATTGTTGCCATGGTGATGATGCAAGGTCCCGCCCCACCCCCAGCCACTTGGCGCCTGTGTATGCAAATTAACCCATCATCTTCGTTGGGTTAATTTGCATACTCATTCCTGATTGGCTGATGGGTGTCACAAAGGTACGGTCAATTTGCATCTTTCTCTTTTATTAGTGTAGATGCTTTTAATTGGGTGTTTTAGAAACCCTTTTGGTAGTTATCTGCTTTATTTCATATCTTATGTGTTGTGTCCCCCCTTTTATCATTTAGAATTTATATTTCATTTTATTTCTTTTCCGTTCACATACTTAAAGTTTTCCTGGATGACTAGATTAATGACATTTTCTTAGAATCTGTTAGTTTGAGAGGTTGGGGAAAGGAGGAAAATTTCCTTGATCTGGTCCTTTCTGTTTACTCTTTCTACAGAATTATAGTTACATTTTGGAAACTATCTAGATGTTTATATCTAATGAAGAACTGAGTATGGTGGAAAATCAAAAGGATTTTAGCCATGTGTAGATATTTGAAATCCTTAACCGAACTGTACTTTGGATCTGAAATATGAGGTGCATCGCACAAGTGTTAGTTTATTTTTCGCCAACATGGAGTGTCTTTGTTTAAAAAGTTCCATGATACAGCGCCTGTATTAAGTTCTATCCTCAATTTTCTTGTAATCATCAGCACTGTGTCTTGGATATCACTGGATTTGTTGTTCAGTTAGCAAGCATGAATAAGAAGTATCTCTGCCAGTGTACTGGAATTTGTATACTACTCTTTTTAAGGACACTTGGGTGAGTGTCTAACATATTGCTCTGCCTCAATTTGAGAACTGCATTGTCACTAGAGAGGGGGAGCTCAGGATGTGCTAAACCACACCAGTAAATATATATTGGAATGTGTAATGTTATCCAAGCTTCCAAACATTGTGTATCGTCATACATCTGGCATCATCTTTCATCTCTGTTTGTGGAGCAAAATTCTATGACTGTGCGGTTGGAAGTGACAGCACCCAGTCCTTTAGCTGTGTTGTGTAACTTGTCCATCACCCTCACCTCTGGTAAGACCCGGGCAGCGTGGGAGCTTGATGATGAAGATCAACAGGCAACATTCTCTTGAAGGGGTCCTTTGTCCCTGGCTCCTTTCTCAGATGACCGTGCTGCTGGCTTCCTCTTTGCATGGTACACTGGTGTGGTGTGACAGCTGTGTGCACAGCATGTAGCTTTAATTTTCCAGGCCAGTGGAAAAGAGCACCTTAGTTCAGGGTGAACTTAAGGCAAATTTCATTATTGCTAATCTACTCTAATTTTTAATGTGCTAAACATCTTGTTTTACTGAACTGAAGACTCATAGCAGCATTTTATTTGGTTGTGACCACACTCTACTAGTGAAATCCACCAGGGACTTACTGTAGATGGACGGTTGACCAGTCAGGCTAGGTTTAGGGCTGGTCTGTGGTAGCCTGTATTACAGGTGGAGGGCTGTGTAATTGATCAACAGGTGGGGAAGTTAGGGGCATACATTTCACAATGTTGCCAGATATGTAATAACTACAAAATAATAACTTTTAATACTTTTTCTGCTCTTCCCCCCCCCCCCCCCCCATTGGTAGTTAATGTAAATATTTAGGAACCCTGTCGTCTAAGGCAGAATGTGTGAACTGGAACCTGAATTCTTGGGGTTTTGTTAGTATACTGCAGGAATTTTCTTCCTTTTCATCCCATGGCACTCATAAACTAATTGCTAAAATTCTGTGGCACACTAAAAAATATACTTTTTGCCAATATGACAAAAAAATAGGTATAATTTTGATTCATTCACAGCAGATGGCTATTGTGTTGGTTGTTGTCATTATTTTATGTTACAACCTAAGGGAAAAGCAGTCATTGCCCCTGACTAAATAGTCAAGTATTGTATGTTTTAAAGATTCTTGCAGCATACCCTTTAAATATTCAGATTGCAAAGCTCCCCTTCATTTTACAAAGATTGTATCTTTTCTTATACTTGACTGTGTGTGTCATCTCTGCCTCCAAGGAGTCAAGTCCAGAGTAACTAGTGGTTATTTCAAAATGTTACTTTAAGTTTAGGGTGGATTGTGGTCTAGATCCAATTTTAACCTTGTGTCTAAAATTCCCTAACCCTCACAAATACATTGGAAGAGCAGGTTTTATGATTGACTGTTTGCATTCACTGTTGTCATTTATACATCATACATTGAATTGTAAAAATCCAAGGTCATGATTTATATATTTGCTTTGAAAAAAGCAGTCTGTACATTTTGGGAATGATAAAAATTGCTAGCTCTTCTTGTTCAGTTAATTACTCTTTATAGATACTTGGTTTTAGGAATAGCAGTTAATATATGTTTTGTCTTGTGGGGAAAGGGAAAGAAAGGAATTTATATGTGTGACTTCCTTAAGAAAAGTTAGTCTGTGGTGTAGATTATGCCAGCCTTAGTTCAACCATGCCCTGAGTTTCCAACCTATAAATGGTAACAATTCCATTTGCTGATGATGCTTTTTAAGTCTTCAGTTAGAAAATGTGTGTACAAGGTGTTATTTTTCTACAGGAAACCCCCTATGCTATGTTTTGCCTTTGGTTTTAAATGAAGTTGGGAAGCTTTTTGGCACATAGGAAACAGTAGAATCCAGAGATTATAGGAATTATTTTCCTTGACAGAATTAAAAATAAAAGGTATTATTTTGCCTAGCCATTAAAAAGTCATCATCTAAAGTCCGTCTCTCTCTCTCTCTCTCTCTCTCTCTCTCTCTCTCTCTCTCTCTCTCCCTCCCTCCCTCCCTCCCTCCCTCCTCCCCCTACCCCCCTGTTAATCCTCACTTGATGATATTTCCTCCATTGAATTTCAGAGAGTGGAAGGAAGAGGGAGAAATAGAGAAACATCGATGTGACAGAGATATATTGATTGGTTGCTTGCCCGACCCAGGCTGGGGATTGAGCCTGCAATCAAAGTACATGCCCTTGACCTGAATCGAACCCGAGACCCTTCAGTCCGCGCGCTGACGTTCTGTTCATTGAGACAAACCAGCTAGGGCTAAAGTCACTCTTTGTAAAAGGAAAAGCCACTCTCTCTCTAGAAGTTCTTTGCCTGTTTGATGTACATGGCTGCCCAGCCATTGAAGAGCTGAAGGACTTAGTGTGGTGGGAACTCCTAGGTGTTGGTTTTCCTTTCCTTTCCTTTTTTTTTTTTTTTATCATTGTGGTAGGTGTTTAAAATAATTTTAAAAATTGTAATGTAGTTTTTAATGTTTAGAATGGAAACTATAGACTTGCAGCCTTTCATAGGATGGCCATGCCTACCTAAGCTCCTTACCCTCCTCCCTACCTTATATTGCCTATCCTGATAAACTTAATGGTTGTAAAATTTGTATTTCCTGCAAGAAGTATATGAGTATTTTCAGGAAACAGAGTGGACAGATTTTGTCTGTCAGGTGTGGCCTGACTGAGAGACTCTGCAATGTTTAGAGGAGATAGAGGTTATCTGTTTAGCTGATGGAAAGGAAGGTGTTGTACAAAGAAATTGGTGATGGTATATTTTTAGGTGCAAGTAAGTGAAGATCCAAAATGCGAGGTCCACAAAGGGGTCATTTGAATTGACCACTCAAATATGAACTGTGTATTTTATTTTATTTTTGGGTAGATGGAGGAAAATAGAAAGGAAAAATGTAAAGAGAGTGGTCTTTCTTAAGGACTTGTCATGAGGACCTTGTATGTGGCACAATGGTTAAGAGTATGGGCTGGAGCTAGACATGTGGTTCAACCATCTGCTTGTTATATGCTCTTGGGCAGGTTCTATACCATCACTGGGACTCAGTTTTATCACCTGTATAATGTCTATGATAATAATAATCACCTCATGGTGGTATTTTGTGCTGAACACGTTAATTCACAAAGAGCACTCAAGTGTATAATAAGTACTGTGTGCTAGATATTATTAACTGTCATCAGTGTATGTGGCACATGAATT